TGCCTTCTGGAACAACAGCCATCTTCTGCAAGATAGCTCTTGAGATACTGGAAGGTGGGTCTCATGTCTTCCTTTAATCTCTTCACAAGACATACATAGGACCTTATCCCACGGGGCCAAAAGCAGCAAGAATCGGCTAAGAATCAGGCGCTATAGCGCTATAGTGTTCCGGGTGATCCCACGACGTCGCTCGGAATCGGCTAAGAATCAGGCGCTATCGCGCTATAGTTTTCCGGGTGATCCCACGACGTCGCGCGGAATCCGCTAAGAATCAGGCGCTATTGCGCTATAGTTTTCCGGGTGATCCCACGACGTCGCTCAGAATACAACAAGAAACCGCTCGGAATGCAGCATCATTCGGGTTCTTTTGTATGCCTGTTTTCATCGGGCATTGCAATAGCGCTAGCTTATCCATAGCGCTATTATAGCGCTAGCGCCATATTATACTAGCGCTATAGTACTGCAATGATGCTCATACGGTTTCTTGCCACTTTTGAGAGCAGCGTGGGATAAGGTCCATAGCCAGTTTTGTCAACTGTTCCTCAGATGACTTGTTTCCAGGACTGATGACATCCTGGTCTCTCTTCTTAGGATGTACTGTAATTTTCTAATGCCCTTCTTAAAATGTCTCATGAAAAACTGGAAACAGAGTTCCAAAACTGGCCAGAATACAATGGAGCTACTTCATCTCATGACCTAGGAGCCATCCAGCCCAAGATCACATTAGGTTCCCCCACCCTTCTTTTAGCAGGTGTGACACTGCACATGCTGTTTATGGTCCAGTAAAGACCTTCCTTTTGGGGAAACGTTATTATTTATTTATTATATTATGTGACAATACATTACATTACAAATGTCAGAGGTTGCTAACAAAAAAATACATCCACAACAATAATAACATAACAAAGAAGCAATATACAGTGGGTCTTTGGTATTCATTGGGGTTTGGTTGCTGGACACCCCCACCCCACCCCCATGGATACTAAAATCCATGGATGCTCATGTCTCGTTATAAACAATGGTGTAGTAAACTGGTGTCCCTTATATAAAATGGCAAAACCAAGGTTTGCTTCTGGGATCTAAAAAAAATTATTTTCAAGCCATTAATGGTTAAATCCTTGGATGCAGAATCCGTGGATATGGAACGCTGATATTTCTGCCAGAACAAGATGCTATGTCCATCAGATGACAGATAAATCAATAATATTGGGAATGACTACACAGCCATTCAGCCAACAAAAGATTAAGGAAAGCCCATGCATCCATTATGTGGTATAGGAACCTGTTTTTCTAGTGCATCAAAAAGAGCAGTGAGTCTGAGGGTCTCAGAGCCCACTTCTTCAGCTGCATGAAGTCCTCGATTCTAGTCTATGTATGCTTTGGCTGCAAGAAGCCTGTTTGTCTTTACAGCTTTGAAATAAAGATTATTTGTTATTTTTTTCTGCAACAAACTAAGATAGCTGCCCCTCTGAAAGCTTTTCTGTTCCAGGGGAACTAATATTTTTCACAGGAAACTCACTGTATATTCTAAAGAGACAAAAGAAGGACAGAGCTACAGCTGTTGTGGCACATACTTGGCCATGGCCCAAAATAACTTTCCTAATATTGGTTCACAGCTTCCAAACATTCTTCAGAGAAGTGAGTTTAGCTGAGGTTGAAAACCCATGCAGAAATGTATGCATTAGTCAGTCTTTTCAGAACTGGCACACAATGCAAGACAAGATTTATTTGATGTTATTTTTCCCCCCAATACAAGATGCGATTTTCCATGTCCCCACTCTCTCTCTCTCTGGTCTTCTGCTATCTCCTTCTGTACCATGTTCCCAATTTCTTTCTCCTTCCTAAACCAAAAGAGGGGTGGACAATACTGTATGAGCACTCAAACTGGCTCTGAGCTTGAAAGACCAGGAAATGGCCACAGTTGTATGGTCCTACTACCAAGTTCTACAGCTTTCAAGTGCAGAGATGGGCATGGCTATCACTTTTGTTCCAATTTCACTTGCCAAAATTAATGAGTAGAGCACCACGCGAACTTGGAGAAATTACTCTTTTGAGTGGGGCAAGGGATCTACAGCTCCTAGAGTTATATCTCAGATGGCATGAAGTCCAAGCTCGGATCATAATCTTTTTATTCCAACTGCATATTCTGGAAGCAACATAGGGCCAGGCCTACCTTTCCTCAGAAACACAGCCATAAAGGTCAAGCAGATATTGTCTCAAATGAGACAATATTTTGGTCCAAAGCTCAGATAATGGGGAATTCTGATGTATTATATGCATTCATATCCTTTCTTTTGGCAGAGAGAAGGAAAAAAAGGGAACGCAAGACACGGCCAATTAACAACTTAGAACATCTGGTAAGCTTGGCTCTGTGGTAGAAGCCAAAGAATGTACATTGGATTTTACAAGGAGGCTAAGCCCTGTCTCAGAACACACACAAACACCACACACAGCCTCATACAAGCAGACACAAGCAGAAACACACTCACACACAACACACAGAGGAAGAGCCACGAAGAAAGCAGTCCTTGATTTCCACACTTTGCCTCCATACTTGTACTCAACAATCTACAGACAAGTCTCACTTTATTTTCCAAAAGGAATACAGTACATAGTTGGTAAGTCATCCTTCTTCCCAGGGTTTTGTCATTGCCTAGCCTTGACTTTTTATTTTCATTCCTAGAGATATCTATTGTTAATTGCAGCCAGCGGTTCTGCTCCTGCTTCTCTGTCAAGCCATCCGTCTGCCTCTGAGGATAACAACCAGTCCAGAGACCATGTTCCATGCTGCTCCCTCTTGGTTCCATCTTAATAATAGTCAACCTGCCTTTGAAATTGTTTGTCTTTCAGAACTTCTGAAGTCAGACAAATTGCTCTACACTTCCTCCTGTCTCCTCTGTCAGTCATACTGACGGACAGAAAAAGCTTTTGCAGTGAGGTGGGGAAAATAAGTACTGTTAAGGATGCCATATAGGGCAAGAGGCAAATTACACACACACACACACACACACACACACACACACACACA